TGTAATAAACAAGAGGCTGGAAGAAGGCAGAGTTTGTGATAACTTTAACTGTCATATGAGATATATTCCCCCAATTTTTTTAAGCTTATCAAGGACTGATACGAGGATATAGTATAGGTGAATAGCCCAGGACAGGATAGATACCACAACTATTTAGCACACATTTGGTCAAAGGATCGGCTTTATTTGTCTTTTTGGCGAGTTTTAGTGTAGTTCTAAAAATGGTAAGACTCACTGACGATGCCGGCGAAACGTCTGGAAATGTACCATGTCCACAGTCTGACTTTGGAAATTATAATGCATACAATGGACTCCGGATTAGGTGCGTTCCTCTAAGTCTTCCTACCGATATGATCAAGTTGTTAAAACATGGTCAAACAACTTCTATACAACGAAAGAAGACTGTGACCACACAAAAGGCCACACCATCTTGGTCTTCATATCTTCGAATAAATGAGATTATCAGCTGTCATAACAGATACAACTGCTTCATCGACAATCAACGCGCAGATATATTAGAAGATGTCTGACCTTCCTTGAATTTTATTTCTACGCTGTGATCTAAGTTCATTCCTGGCAATGCCATGGTTCGAGTCCTGCTAGAGAAGTTGACAAGATCTAGACAATGTCAGTACTGCAGTCCACTCTGGATAAGAATATCTTTTGGGAAAGCAAGGCTATGTGAAATTCGGTAGAAACGTAAGGTCTATTCATATCATTGTGGGAAAAATCAACTACCAGTCCCCTTATCACCTTCAACGAAATAGGGTGAATACTTCTCACATACAAAAGCCAATTATATTTACTGCTTGCTATATCTGCATTCTTTGTTTACATATACATTATGAAGTTCACGTTTCCGATTAAGGTGTAGACTTTCTTGAACTTCTGTGCTTACTGTTTTTGGTTACCTACACCAAACGCTCCTTGTAACTATTCTTGTTTGTTTATTTTTCCCCTCCTCGACTCCAACAGCTCCTTCATCCAGAAGGCGCCCAACAAACTCCTGATTCAGACCTCTGCGACCTTCTACG